GGGATGAGCAGAGAGCACATCACCGTCAGAGTTCTTGTGTACTTCCTTCATTCCGTCGGGCTTTAGACGGCATACACTGGCACATCTCCTGCTCCTTCAGTTCACTCTCTTCCTACTCCGTTTTCGCTTTGTCAAACGACCTGTTTGACATTGTGTTCCCCCGTTTGACAGATGGCATTTAAAACACTGACTTGGGGGGGAAAAACACAAAACGGCCAATTCAGCATTGTTACTCTTGTTTATTTTTTTTTGTTCATGGCGGCGTCATACAGTGTTGATATTTGAAAGGTGGCCGTTGCCTGTACCTATTGGCATTTTTGGTGTTACACGTGTATGTCGTTTTTATTTTAATTTCACCTTTAGACCAAAACAACGGACAACTTATTTTTGTTACGTGTGCATATGTCGAATTCAGTGTTTTTTATTTTATTTAAACCACGTTGTGTGTTGAAAGCATGACCAAAACCTTCGTGTTGTGAACGGCAGAGGAGGAGGTCTTAACTCTTCAGACTTGCCTTAGAAACTCGATATAACCGAGCCCACAGAATGATTGCATTACAGATGTTACAGTGATCTTTGTATCACGATGCTACAGTTGAAGGTCCAGTCTCATGCATATACTGACAGGTGTTGTTAGCAATATAAAAATATCTAATTTTACCACTTTTGTGCATTTTTATTCATTATACAAAGGTTTTGTTCTGAAATATAAGATACAACCTTTTAAGATTGTTTCACTTTGATCATATTAACAGTGCTGTTTTTAAGTTAAGAAAAACAGCAAATGCATTGGTGCAGCTGCTGTAGGATGAGTTAGATTATCACAGTGAGGCACTTCTCCGTTCACCGTTTTAATTTGTCAATGTTGAAGCTGTTTTGCAACGTTCTCTCTTCACTGAAAATTGTAAAACTGCCAAAACTCCATGTTGTCGTCTCCATTGTTGCGGTTGAACTTCTGTCGTTCTTTTATTCTTATGACCGAATGTAGTGTTGAAACTTCTAGATATATGCATATTGTTTGAGTTTTGAGGTACGTTCTCACAGACATTATACTAAGAAACTGAATATGTTACAAAGAAAGAGTGAGAGAGAAAAATATGGAGGTTAGTAAGCCTCTTCTCCTTTGTATCACCTATAATCCAGTTATTGTTCAGCTCATAATGCGTATATGCATTTTTTCTTATAAATGTTTTTATTTATACACACATTAGAGAGATGCTAATAAATTTTATTTTTAAGACTGGTTGTTCTTTTGAATGTGTAATTTTTCCATAACATTTAGGGTTTTATTTTTAATTGCAATGAATGATTAAAAAAAAAACACCTTTTCAAAATGGACAATAAATCACGATTGCGATTGCTTTTATACAACTTTAAAAATAGTGAAAGGGTTAATTCACTCAAAAATGAAAACATCCATTACTCACCTTCATGTCTTTCCAAATTCATACATTTTGGTTCATCTTCAAAACACAAGAGCAAGATATTTTTAATAAAACCTGAGAGATTTCTGGCCCTCCATTAAAAGTCCATTCCTTCAAAAAGTTCGTAATGACGTCAAGTAATACATTTGAATCAAACTTTTTGAAGAGCTATGATCATTTGTATTCACATATGAACATTGATCAATGCACATACGTAGAGCAAATCAAATATGGAAGCAAAAACTTGCTTTCTTGATGCTTGACAACCATTGAGGGCTTTTTGTATGATTGAGCAATATTTATATGATCATGTGATCGTACAATTTAATCACAAAGTTAAAGGGATAGTTTACCCAAAACATGTAATTTGATGTACTCGCCCTCAGGCCATCCAAGATGTAGGTGACTTTTTTTCTTCAGTTGAACAGTAAAGAAGATTTTTAGCTGAAACCGTGCTCCTTGGTGATTCATAAAATGCAAGTCAATGGCTACACTGTAAAAAAAAATCTGTGTCTTTTACGGTAAAATACCGGCAGCTGTGGTTGCCAGAACTTCACCATAAAAAATATGGTAGCAACATTTTACGGTTTGTCTGTTTCACTTCCAAAAACTGTATTTTTAACAGTATTTTACTGTAAAATTACATTAAATGTAATTACATTTATTCACCGAATATAGTATGGAAACTTACTGTTAACCAGTTAACAGGTTTTTACTGTAGCATTTTTACAGTCTTTTACTGTTAAAATCACAATCATTTTTTATAGTGTACCGTCACTGTGAGAGTCAAAAAAACATATCAAGACAACACAAAATTAATACCCCTGAGGAAGCGAAGCGATCAGTGTGCATGAAACTGAACGTTATTTACAACATTATTACCTGTAATCCAGAGCCTCAGGTTAAACACGGAGGTCTTCGGTCTAACGTGTTGTCTTCACTTGTAGGATGATGGGAATATTCCCAGGATTTGTTGGGGAATTGCTAACGGAGTGGCTTCACTGAGAACTGCAGTATGAATGGCTGAGTGACGTGAAGAACTACAGGACCAGGCCTGTCAAAATAAAACATTTAATGTTTTACATATAGCATTGGTTAACAGCTGCAGTGTTAAAATTAGTTACAGTAATGCATAGGGTGATGGAACTGTTTGCAATTGTTAACATGTCAAGAGTACAAATCAAAACAGGAGTTCTGACATTTACAGACTCATTGACCTCGCTCTGTGTTGCCAGGGGTTTTTCCACACAATTGGGCTATTTTAAATATGCAGTTCTGAATTTTTTTTTTTTTAATAGTGTACCTCAGCTGCCAAAATGTATATTTGTAGACAATGAAAATGTATGCTTTTACTAATGCATATTGATCCTTGGACTGAATACCAGGCAACCTAAAGACCGCTGAAAGAGTGAGGAAGAGTCTCGTTTGAAACTGTCGTCACAAACTAGAGGCTACGAGAAATATTTAGTCATATTTACGAGATCATGTATTTTAAAGCAGGTTCATTGAGGTTGCTATCGCAGATTAATTGCACATTGATGCTTGTGTGTTGACAAAACAAGAGTAAATGAAGAGGGAAGAGAAAAAATGGTGTGTAGGCTATTAATCTTGACTGAGATCAGAAAATATCAGAGAGGATTTGATTTAATGTATGAATGGAAAAGAGTTTTAAAAGAATTGGGCAAGTGAAAGGACAACATGCATTGTAAGGCAAAAGCCAACTTGGAAGTTGTAAAGTGTTATTCATATTTATATCTCACATTTGTCATGCAAAGTGCTCCAAAAATCATAAATTCATCAATTAAAATCAAAGAGTAGTTATAAGTACAGTAGCCTAAGTCAAGTGATTTCTGAGAAACACTGCTGAAAATTGAAATCCACACCTAAACAAACTATTTTGTGAATATTTGCTAGCTAGCTGATCTCTGTGTGCATGCCGAAAAACAAAAGTGTTTGTTCAAAGTCTTGGATGTGTGTAAATATGGGGAAAATAAAGTGGATCGGACCAATCGGACCGAGCACCACAACACTCTTCTGGCCAATCAGCAATAGAATTAGGAAGTAAATACTGTAGACTGTACTGGTTGAAAAATTACCAAAAAGGAAAATGTCAGAGGAATATCAATGGGAAATAAAAAGAACTGGGATACGATCAGGCAAGAGCTGGACCTGCGTTAATAGACAATCTTTCCAGCGCTAAAGAGATGCTAGAGAGCAGGAAGGCCTGAGGATGCAGAGGCGAGCAACTTTTTTTTTAATGTTTCACAAAAGATATGCTGCTTGTTGTGTTCAATTACAAAGTCTGCAGGTTAAGAAGTACCACTAGGGGGAGTTGTTGTAAGAGATTGAAATATGCATGCATGTAAGAGGAGGAGAGATGGATGTTTTTCCTGCAGTGCTTGAGTAACAGATGAACCTGTGCAAGATAAGAGTGTTCCTTTCTGATTTATGCTGGTGACACATCACTGCTGTTGTAATATAAGTGATCCCTGATAGCACACGTACATCACGGAGACGTCTATTTTTTAGAGCGTTTGCTCATCTGCAATAAGTCTACAGGACGTTTCCTATCAGATGTCAAATAGATGTTCAGAAGATGTATTTAAGA